GAAGGCCATGATGGATTTAAAGTCGGCTGCCTACAGGGAATACTTCATTGAGACGGCCAATGAGCCTCTGCCACCGCCTATTAGCCGCCAGGTAGATAGTTGTGTTTTGTTGCTTTGATGCTGAAAGGACTGTTCCTGATTTTACCTTGTTCTTCGAAGTACATTTCTTGGTGTGCTGCGTTTGACCACCAACTCTACAATATTGTGAAAGGCAGTGGTGTCATCTGCAATCTAAAATGTAACTGAGATGCTGAAAGTGTAGTATTTGCTCGGGACAACCATATTTGTCAGATTTGTTGCAATAGCTCATGTGAACAATACCTTGTCATGTTGGAGATTACACAGTCCTACAGTCCTCGACAGTTTTGATCGGGACATTTGGTTGCTTCATCTATTGCAGGTTGCGCAGGCTGGAAATTCCATCGGAGCCTTTGTCTTTGCTTCCCTGGTTGCGTTTGGAATGGCTTTCCTGTCTGCTTCCTTTGTCGTATCACCGGTGGAAGAGGTCAGCAACAAGGTAAGAGTATGCCGGAGACCGTCTCTCTCTCTCTCTCTCTCTCTCTCTCTCTCCTCTTTCTTTCTTTCTCTCTGTCTCTCTCTGTCTCTCTCTCTACCCCTCTCTCCCCTCTCTCTTTGCCTCTCTCTCTCTCTCTCTCTCTCTCTCTCTCTCTCTCTCTCTCCTGACACCTTTGAAGGCACACACGCAATTGCAGCTTGTAATTTGTGCTCTATTACTTTGGCTATTCTCCAGGCGAGGCACATTCAACGTCTGTGCGGTGTCAAGGGCACCGTGTATTGGCTGGCTCACTTTTCCTGGGATATCGTCTTCTTCATCTTGCCGGCCCTGGTTCTGGTTGTTGTGTTTGCTGCATTCAACGTGGATGCGTATCAAGGAGAAGCACTCGGTGCTGTGTTTGTGCTACTGGTAGGTACACACGCTGTACTGTACTGTATGTGCTTGCATGCTTAGTGTTGCACACACACACTCCCACAACCACAAGGTGCCAGGACTCTGCTGTGCAATGTTTTCCCCTGAAAATAAAATAAAAAAGAGAGGACCCTACGTTTACAAGTTATCCGTTTTTTTAATCCTTGGCTCTCCATCTGAGTTTAATCCGAAACAAATCGATTCTCTTTTCACTGGGGGTGAACAACTGACCTGTATTTCTTATCCACTAGCTTGAATCCTATTTTTTTACTTCTTGGCTGACAATGTATCGTAATGGTGCACCCCTTTGCTCAGTAAAGTGGACTTTGAAGTCTGAGCTAGTGTATCCTCAGTGCGCCCTGTTCAGGAAAATGTCATGACTTGAGCATGGCAGGGCCACCTGTCGCGTGGAGTTTTAGTGGTTGGCCATATCAGCCACAGGTTGTGGGTACTTAGGGCTACATGGTGCACTGTGCATGGGACAGGGGGGGGGGGGAGAGAGAAGACTGGGTCTGATGTTTCTCTTGTTGTTGGGTTTTTCCTCCCCGCTGCTTCCGTCTGCAGTTGCTTTTTGGTCTCTGCTCCATCCCGCTTGCCTATTGGATATCGTTTGCGTTCTCTCAAGCGTCCAAGGCGTACAAGAACACGGCTTTCCTGTTCAGTGGTATTCCCCTGGTAAGATTGGTCATTGCAGTGCTGTGATCTCGGCTGCAGAGAAGACTCCGATAAGCAGTGAATTTGAGTGTGGAGTCCGACTGGATGTTTGCACATTCGGCATGGTGAATTAATAAAAAATCTTCCAATGGCTAAATTGATCATGATCCCAAGTCAGTTGCCCTGGCATTTCTGTGGTAGGTATGACCTCATCACGATTGTATTTTTGTGCTTGTTGGTGTGCCACAGCTGTGCCTGATTGTTGACTTTGCTCTCAAGTTCCCTGGTGTTGATCTGAACAGCGTGGCTGATTCTCTCAGGTATATCTTCTTCGCCATACCTCACTTCAGGTTAGTGCACTTTCCCCGTGCCTGCGTGTGTATTACTGTGTGTGTGCGTGCGTGCGTGTGTGAGAAGAGGGCAGAGGCGAAGGAACCGGTGCAGCAGGTGCGGCCCAAGTCGCACCTATAATTTTATCCTGTGATTTCAGGAGCAATGAAATATAGGCCATTCGGGTCCAAGTTTCCTGAAAATTGCCCGATGGGGGTTGGGACCCTGTCTTTTCAGGGTCGCACCCATGTAGAATACCTTCCGACGCCCGGGGAGGGGGTTGTGCATGTTCTTGTACATGTGCATGTGCGCAAGGATGGTTGCGGGCTCATTCTCGAGGCCATGACTTGATGTGTGCCACTGCATGTGTTACTGTACGGCTTTGCTTACTAATGTGTGCTTGTATGTGTCACTGTACAGCTTTGCTTATGGTATTACCAGTTTGTACACCATCAACGAGCGGAAGAAAATCTGCAAGAAATTCCCAGTGTAAGTGACGAGGTATTGGCTGACGGGTCTCTCTGTTCAAAAGGCGGATCATTGGAGTGTAGAATGTGAAACAAAAACAACACAATTTGTACTGCAGGGGTGGGTAGCACAACTCTGTGTGCACATTGGCAGCATGTCAATGCTATTGGTAACATTTTCTCCTGCATGTATGTGTGTGTGTGTGTACGTGTGTACGTGTGTGTATGTATGTGTGTGTACATGTATGTCGTGTGTGTATGTCCTTGCGTGTGTGTATCTGTATGATAATTTGCATTCTGCAGCGTTGCAACTGGCCGTGGCCTAAGCCGAGATGATTGCTACACTCAATTCAACATCATCACCAATCTGTATGACACCACACAACCTGGCCTGGGAGTAGAGTGTCTCTACATGTTCTTCATGACTTTCTTCTATGCTGGCATGGTCTATCTTGCTGAGGTAGGTGATTGTTGCTTGGCACACATGCACACGCACACACACATGCATGCATAGCACACGTGCACGTGCACACTCATACTGGTGTGTTTGAGCTTTCAACTACCCACGGTTCTAAACCATGTTAATAAATTTGTATTTAAATACCGGTATGTGTTTATTGTATTTTGGCAGATGGGCTTCTTTAGAATGCTGCAACAAAAGGTGATTAAAAAGATCAAAGGAGACAGCGACAACGATGAAGTAAGTGGAACAATGAGACACAGATTTGGATACGATGTGCACAAAGGTTCTCACTCATATCATGTGTACTGGATGTTTGTTTGGACACCAGCTGTTAGGTCCCTCTGCCTGCCAGCCTGCCTCTCTGTCTTACCCTCTCTATCTGTCCATCTATCCATCTATCTATCTATTTTTCTCTCCATCTATCTATCTACAAAGTGTCTTAGGTCCTTGCTGAAAATACCTAAGGCCGAACTGATGAGTGTTTTGAATGCGAAACTCGGAGTCACGAGAAAGTTTTTGGTCTCTGTTGTTCTGCCTTGTGTGTCTATCTACCTATCTATCTATCTATCTATCTATCTATCTATCTATCTATCTATCTATCTATTTACGCTACTGATGAGTTCACAAAGAACGAAACAGTATGCTGTCCGTAGATTGAGTATCTATCTATCTTTCTATCTATCTATCTATCTATCTATCTCTCTATCTCTGGCCTGTCTGTTCACACGTTCAACATCCCCCCTCCCCACATCGCATGACTGCTGTGCTATCATGTTCTACACATTCTGCAGTTCCTTGCCAGGACGGCTGATGACAAGGAGGACGATGATGTTGCCAGGGAGAGGCGCAATGTCATTGAGAATCTAAACGACGTTATCAAGAAGGAAGCTGTCGTCTTGCACAACTTGACCAAGGTGAGATCGATATTCGATAGTCTCCATCAGCTCTGCCAATCACCCTGCAAATCACCTTCTCCATCACAGTTCACCTTTGCATGGCTTGCACAGTCAACTTTGCTTATAACGACATTCGGCGGGGCATCGGAAAAATGTCCTTATTCGCGAAGTGTCCTTATACCCGAAGTCCCATTTGAATGTATGTGAGCCCATATTTTTGTATAGTATGACACGCATATCAAAATGAAAGCTCTTGTCATGCTCTATACCAACGTGTACCCCATTTTCATATTACAATTGAAAGGAACTATGAAGTCGATACGGAAGGGAAATGAAAAACTAGCGTTATGCAAGTTTTGGAGCCATCTACAGGGACATGTACATGTACATGACATGCATGATGATTACTGTACAATCATGTACACCTACATGTACAACCACAGGACATTGTAGCTGTGCTGATCACTCCAACCAAGAGTCCATAAACAAGAGTATGCAACTGTGATCTCTTTTCTATGGGCCAGATGCGCGGCGCGCCGCCTTCATTACATCATTCACCTGCAGTCCGCGCACTGCGGAAAATCAAACACCGCACTTTCCCTCTGGTTTGAAATGAACTTTCTTGCGGAACTGGAGTTCACGCGCCAAAATTTAAAGATCGCGTAGGTACTGGAACGAATCGAGCAAAAACGGATGGGCTCGTACGAGAAATTGTGAGTTTGAATGCATGCTTTCAGAGCGTGATGAAGGCAAGTTACGTAATGAAGGCAGCGCGCCGCGCACTGACCCATAACCACAGTTGCATACTCTTGTTTATGCACTCTTGCTCCAACATGTAGTTAGAAGCAAAAAAATAAAAAGCACCCCCCCCCCCTTGGCTGCATCTTCTTGCATGTGTGCCTTTATCCATCGCCATGCATAGCATGGGTTCTGGTACTTCTGCATGACAGGTACTTGAAATAGCTGTCAAAAGCGCGGAAAGTCGTTATTCAAGCAGTGAATATGACCTCGGGGCACTAAAAGCATGTCATTATTCGCGAATTGTCGTTATTCAGATAGTCGTTGTATCCGAAGTTAAATGTATACAGTTAGATGGGACTTTGCTCTGGGCATGGAAATTCTGTCGTTATTCGCGAATTGTCGTTATATCCGCAGTCGTTATTAGCGAAGTTCACTGTATGTCTGGCAAGAAGACTGAAAGGCTTGCTTGAGTGGATTATTTAATTTTTTTAACTCAGCCATGCTCCTTGTGTGTGTGTGTGTGCTCTTTCAAATTTCTTTGTTATCCTTCAAGTGATGTGCTGTGCCGTTGTGTTGCTGTGTTCTTCAAGTGATGTGCTGTGCCGTTGTGTTGCTGTGTTCTTGTAGGTGTACAACTCTTTCCTGGGTCGTCCTGCAGCAGACAACTTGTGCCTGACTATCCCGCAGGGTGAATGCTTTGGCCTATGTGGTGTGAATGGTAAGCAATGGTATTACAGTAATATCTGTACGAGTGAGGGTCGACGTTGCACCATACCGGTGTGGGTGGACAGTTGATGGTTACTCACTCTCCCCCTGTCTGTCCGTATCTCTCTGTCTGTATGTCTGTCTATCTGTCTGTCTGTCTGCGTGTCTGTCTGTCTGTCTGCGTGTCTGTCTGTCTATCCTGCTATTCATGTGGGCCCCTAATAGTACCATGTCAAAGTGTGGACAGGCTGTGTGTGAATACACTATGGTGTATATGAGTAGAATCGTGTGTGAATGCACTCGTTCAATGCACCAGACACTCCTACACCAGGTGGTTATGCTGGGTGGTGCCCACACAGACTATATACTATGTCACTGTGCAAAGTGTCCCTTGCTAAGTTGCTGTGTGTGCTGTGTGGTGTGAGTGACTCGCGCCCTGGGTGTACCTGCACATGTGTATGCGCGTGCATGCACACTGTGTACATGTACTTACAAAGCTTGTCATGGTTTTCCCAGTTAAAGCACACTGACTTTGATGCTTTGAGCCAATTAAAAAAAAGCTTTGTTATTCACTGGACCTCATTGTGATCGGTGGTTCCGTCAGTCGCTCTAAATTCCGCCGATGAGATCTAACAGGTTCTAACACCTAGCTGCCATTAGACTCAGCGTGTACTGGCATGTACCGTAATGTCGCGTGCATAAGCCGGATTTGTGCATAAGCCTGTCTCGTGTAGAAGCATGAAATCTGCAACAGCTTTTCGCGTACAAGCCTGTCGCATGCATAAGCCGGGCCAGTACACGAGACGCGCCACGTGTCGCGTGCGTAAGCCGGGCTACTACGCAAGACTGGTGAGCGCGCCTTTTACATGTTCATGTTTGCATGGTACCGTACACTTGCGAAAAAAAAGAAAAAAAATCCCGTTGGAAAATGTTGGTTTTGACGTCCAAAAGTCAGCAGTTTGCGCATACAAGCCTGGTTATTGAGTGGTGCTTGTCATATAAGCCTGTCTCGTGTATAAGCCTGTCTTGTGTACAAGCCTGACTCCATCACCGGCTTATAGGCATATAAGCCCCGGCTAATGCACGCGACATTACGGTATATATTATGATTATTATGCGTGCATGTTTGAATCCCTGTTGCATGTTTGAATCCCTGTTGTATGTTTGTGAAGGCGCTGGAAAGACGACAACGTTCAATATGATGACTGGAGATACTCCGTCCACATCGGGAACAGTCTATCTACAAGGCTATGACATCAGCACACACCTCAGAGAGGTACTGACAACTTCTTTTTTAAAGTACATGGCTAGTGAACTTTATCCTTGTGTTTGTTGCTCGTGAACCTCTAGCCGTGAGGTGCTGATCTCCACTTCTATCAATCATGTGCCAATGATAACTATGTACAATACCCAAGCCGGTATCCCACCCCCAATACACAGCAGGGACTTTGCCAATATGTGTCCAGCCCGCGTGCTATGTCCACACCGCTGCAGTTTCTTGACACATACCCAAAGTATTGTCTTCATTAGCTGCGTGGGTTGGATGGATTCCGGGGGTTGGATGGATTCCGGGGGTTGGATGGATTCCGGGGGTTGGATGGATTCCGTGGGTTGGATGGATTCCGGGGGTTGGATGGATTCCGGGGGTTGGATGGATTCCGGGGGTTGGATGGATTCCGGGGGTTGGATGGATTCCGGGGGTTGGATGGATTCCGGGGGTTGGATGGATTCCGGGGGTTGGATGGATTCCGGGGGTTGGATGGATTCCGGGGGTTGGATGGATTCCGGGGGTTGGATGGATTCCGGGGGTTGGATGGATTCCGGGGGTTGGATGGATTCCGGGGGTTGGATGGATTCCGGGGGTTGGATGGATTCCGGGGGTTGGATGGATTCCGGGGGTTGGATGGATTCCGGGGGTTGGATGGATTCCGGGGGTTGGATGGATTCCGGGGGTTGGATGGATTCCGGGGGTTGGATGGATTCCGGGGGTTGGATGGATTCCGGGGGTTGGATGGATTCCGGGGGTTGGATGGATTCCGGGGGTTGGATGGATTCCGGGGGTTGGATGGATTCCGGGGGTTGGATGGATTCCGGGGGTTGGATGGATTCCGGGGGTTGGATGGATTCCGGGGGTTGGATGGATTCCGGGGGTTGGATGGATTCCGGGGGTTGGATGGATTCCGGGGGTTGGATGGATTCCGGGGGTTGGATGGATTCCGGGGGTTGGATGGATTCCGGGGGTTGGATGGATTCCGGGGGTTGGATGGATTCCGGGGGTTGGATGGATTCCGGGGGTTGGATGGATTCCGGGGGTTGGATGGATTCCGGGGGTTGGATGGATTCCGGGGGTTGGATGGATTCCGGGGGTTGGATGGATTCCGGGGGTTGGATGGATTCCGGGGGTTGGATGGATTCCGGGGGTTGGATGGATTCCGGGGGTTGGATGGATTCCGGGGGTTGGATGGATTCCGGGGGTTGGATGGATTCCGGGGGTTGGATGGATTCCGGGGGTTGGATGGATTCCGGGGGTTGGATGGATTCCGGGGGTTGGATGGATTCCGGGGGTTGGATGGATTCCGGGGGTTGGATGGATTCCGGGGGTTGGATGGATTCCGGGGGTTGGATGGATTCCGGGGGTTGGATGGATTCCGGGGGTTGGATGGATTCCGGGGGTTGGATGGATTCCGGGGGTTGGATGGATTCCGGCAATTGAAGTAATACTGTAAGTCTACAAATTTCCGGCACGTTTAAATTTCAGTCTCCCCGGGCTAAAACACATTTTGGCCGCATAAAAATTCCAGCCTGTCCCCCTGCTGCCACATGAAGTTTCTATTACTCCAATGTACTAATGAAATTGTGCATTTTGGTTCTCTGCAGACCCAGCCTTTGCTCCACTGTGTATTTCGTAACATGTTGGTGTCTTTCTCTTCTTACTCAGGTTCAGCGCAATATCGGCTACTGTCCGCAGTTTGATGCTCTGCTTGAGCGGCTGACGTCGAGAGAGCTGCTTGCCCTGTACTGCCGCCTGCGTGGCATACCCGAGGAGTACATTGTACCCACCGTCGAGAGCATCATCTCCGAAATGCACTTGACCGACTGGGCCGACAAGACCTGTGGAACATACAGGTAGCGTACCACAGTGGATAATCTCTGTACTCCTCTGTACATGTACGACTGTGGACATTGAAATACGGTGGCATGACCGGGACCGGCGCCCTTACCGCCTTAGAGCGTACACTCACGTTTATGTACACACTGCAAAGAACGGACCAGCTGTGCTCTCGGCTGCAAGGCCAGCGCCCGTGGCCGCTTGACTTCTCAACGGATTTCAATGTCCACGGCAGTTCATGATTGTGTCTATGCACATGCATGCATGCCTTTTGGCATGGTGTTTGGTGCTGTGCAGTGCTGCATGTGATGCAATGCTTGGGTACTGTATCAACTACAGTAGAAAGTGCACTTCTACACATTGTACCTGTACACAGAATGAAAACATTTGTAGATGCAGATGTAACCGCTTCATAAGGCTGCACTGAAAACATTCTTTGTTTCAGGTAACCTCACTGACTGATGTTTGGGGGGGGGGGGGGGGCAGCCGATTTGTAGAAGGGTCCACACATTATTTATCCTTCTCTTTCTCTTCTTTTCTTTTCGTGCAGTGGTGGTAACAAGCGTAAGCTAAGCGTAGCCGTAGCCTTGGTCGGCAACCCACCCATCCTTTTCCTGGTAAGAGGGAAATTGTACATGCTATATGTATGGGCTGTTTGTTCTTACTGCAACAGAGGTGGGAATTAGTCCTCACCAAAAGCCCCATTCCAAACTTTCACCCCACTAGGCATCCTCATGGTCAGCACCCTACCCTAGTCCTCTCACAATCAGCTTACCAGTGCTAAGTACACACTCTACTTTGTCAATGTCTGCCTGTAGTTATGGCTGTGTAGCAGATCTGGTCTAGCTTTGGTGCTTGCTTGCACGCCTTCCCTGTGACAGCCTGCATGTGGCTAGCGTGAGATTGGTGTGAGACGTGTGAACGTGATGCTGCTGTTATGTTGTAGCTATGGGCCTGTTGAGTGCAGGGCATGCACTGATGCACACACACACTGTGTGCAGGGATTGCACACATCCAGCCAGTCTGTGCTAGAACCCGTGTAGCAGGCTGCCCGTTAACGCTTGGTATCCCTCCTGGCTGTTGGCGCTAGTTTTCCCTCCACTGCAGACACGGTCTGCTTGGTCAGGGCCAGGTATAAGAGCAGCTGCTGGTCTGGGTTAGTTTGTCAAGTGTATACTCATCACCAGCCAGGTCCAGTCCCAGCTCAGCCTTGACTCAGCTCAGCCTCACCTCTGCTCAACCTTGCTTCGGGTCAGTCTTGTCTCATCTCTCTGCCAGTAGCCCACTGCTGCTGTTACCGCTGCTTTTTCAGGTCAGCTCCACTACTGGACCAGTTTTCTGTGTTTTACCTTCTTCTTCTCCTCTAATGGCTTCCTCCTGTTTTCCGTTTTGTGTTCCTAATGTGTCCATGCTGTGTCAGGATGAGCCTACAGCTGGCATGGACCCCGGTGCACGCCGCTTCCTCTGGGATGTACTCACCGACGTACTGGCCTCGGGCAGGAGTATCGTGCTCACCTCCCACAGGTATGGTATACCCTGAACACTTGCACACACACATACACACACACACCATGTACCATGTATACGCCCGTCGCAAGAGAAGCACGCAAATCTGCAAATGCACTGGATGTGCACCCACAGATGTTCTCTTATAGCAACGATAGCGAACAAGATCTGAATGAGACAGATCAAGACCTGCGCCAGAGTCTAATCCACACACCTGGCGGAGCCATGTGAATCGACCACCAATGCACACCTGGTCTACACCACACGGAGTACATCGGCATAAAACGGCGAAGACAGTTACCTATGCACACCCTACACTTGCTGGGGTAACCAGTATAGACAGCACGCTGCTTTGATAGAAGCAGACACTAGATGCACTGGTACCTGAAGTGAAATTGGAGACTTTACCAACCATCCTCGGCTACTGAGTACTGGGAACCCAGAGCCAACAGACCTACCAACAACCTCAGCCATGAAAGCTATTATAGTAACGACACACTGGATTGTGGAGCTGAAACTAGTCTAACTTCCTAATGCTTTGGCAAGAAGGTAGACTTCCAACAGGTTGGACACACACACGCACACACGCATACACACACACACACACACACACACACACACACACACACACACACTTGTACTTGTACTTGCTCACTGCCAAAACTGGTCACGTGGGTCTCCCCGGGAGAGGGGAGAGAGACTCAAAAGGAATCTTGGAAAGATGACTCAATTGGCCATTGAACCACCCAACGGCCGACACCCCCTGAAATCCCCAAACTAGGGTGGACTTGAAATGATCCCACTTATGGGCTCACCACACCTCAGTAAGTGGGTGAGGACAAGGTGCAGAAAAAGGATTGACGGCATCAGGGTATCCGTCCCGGGATCCAACTGCAGGTACCCCTGCCCCCAGTGAAGGTAATACTTGGTACTAGTGTGGGTGGCTAAATCAGAGTGGATCTGATATAAGCTTCACTAGCACCATTGATTACACAAGAGTTAATCTAGCCAGAAGCAGTCCATGGTTAACAGGTATGTATACTTCAAACAGAAAGTATATGAACCCTGAAACCAACAAAGGTGGTAGGTACAACAATACACCTTCAAGCAGCCGAGCCCGTTGGCAACAGGCCCAACACTATCTGGCATAAGTGTACCCACCAACCGAACTAGCTGGCACCACACACACACACACACACACACACTGTACTGTACTGTACTGCACTGTCTTGCTCACTGCCAAAATTGGTCACGTGAGTCTCCCCGGGAGAGGGGAGAGAGGAGCTCAAAGGAATCTTGGAAAGAGGACCCAACTGGCTATTGAACCGCCCAACGGCCGACACCCCCCCCCCCCCCCGAAATCCCAAACTATGGGTGGACTTGCAAATGATCCCACTTACGGGCTCACCACACCTCAGTAAGGGGCTATCCGGCAATATCGATAATTTTCACGAAACGAAAAAGTTCAGTTACGGCCCTCCCTCACCCACCCACCCCCCTGAATGAAAAATAGATTGACTTGACAGCAAGAATGCCTTGATGTCTCACATATCATATTTTTCAAAACGAAACTCCCCTTGACCCACCAACCCATAAGCGAAACTGTTTCTCTTCGTGTAAAAGATCGATAATTATGGACGGCCCCTAAGTGGGTGACGACAAGGTGCAGAAAAAGGATTGACGGCGTCAGGGTATCCGTCCTGGGATCCAACTGCAGTTACCCCTGCCCACCCACACACACACACACACACACACACACACACACACACACACACACACACACACACACACACACACACACACACACGTGCAAACACCCACCCACTCTCCTTCTCCTTTCTACCCCTTCGCCTTCCTGTATATTCTTCATTTGTAACTGCATGTTTCCCTGAAGTGCTGCTCCTGGCTGACCGGTATGCTCTTGTTTTGCTTTCCTGTCTTTGTCCTGCCCTGCTGCGTAGCATGGAGGAGTGTGAAGCGCTGTGTACACGTCTAGCCATCATGGTGAATGGACGCTTCAAGTGTCTCGGCAGCATTCAGCACCTCAAGACCAAGTAAGTACTTGAAGTACTGACTGTCTGCCAGTACAGAACTAAGGCGAGTTAGCAATAGGATACAGTTTGCATATCACTTAACAGTCTCGACTTTGCTTCCACCAAGCCTTGTTGCTGGCCGCCTGTCTGAAAATGGTGTGCATATGAATTCTCCCTGTCGCACCACGCATGCCCGAAGACATACCACATTGTCCCACGCTGTTGCGTGCACTCAGTGGCACACAGTCTGATCTGTGATTGGGCTGTTTAGACCTGAGCACCTGGCTGCAATACGTTTAGAGGGGATTCTCACAAGCCACTGTGAATGTGTTGTTGGAACAGTAGGCCCATTGTGCAATGCCGTAGCCTGTACCACCCAACGCCTTGCACAGCCACCTGCCCTGGCCATGCTTGTGGAGAGTGTTGAATATAGTGCACTGTGGATGCATGGTGTTTAGTATAGTGCACTCTGGATCTGGTCTGGGCATGGCTGTGTAGGGTGGTGAATATTGCACTGTGGATCCCAGCGTACTCGCATACACTGCTCATACAGTCCATACTAAAGAGTTTGGCTATACGCGATGGATATATATGTGTCTACCATGGCTTCCAGTTCACCATTGTTACCATGGCTTCCAGTTCACCATTGTAACCATGGCCATTACTGTTTATTGTGTTTAATATGCATGCATCTGTACTGGTTCTATCCGTGCGTATATAAACCCACAGGTTTGGTTCGGGATACTCGATGAGTCTCAAAGTCGGCCACAAGCTAAAGAAGGCTACTACGCCTGCGGTCGCTGCTGACGCTACCAATGCTGAGACGGAGCTATCTGTCTACACCGGTGCAGAGGACGAAGCGGACAAGCCTGCCGTTGTTGCTGCTGCTGACGTCGATGATGACGATGATGATGACGATGACACTGGCTTAGCAATGGATGAACAGACTGGAGCACCATCTACGGATGCTGCAGAGAAGTTCATCAAAGAGACATTCCCCGGAGCGGACCTGCTTGAAGCTCGCCAGGTAACAACAACACCATACTTCTTTTGTATCCAGCTTTGGAGATTCCATCTTTGTGGGCCAAGTTGAAGTTCCAGGCCCGGCATGAATGTGCAACACTGTTACCAGGGCATGATCAATTAAAAAGTCGGCGTGGAGAACCTAATATCGATGAAAGTAAAGTGAGCGCCCTCAAACTCTCAGTGTGATGACGATTTCTGATATCACATGAAAACGACGTTCAAATATTGTTCCATTGTGCTCATGGTATAACTTAGGGACCATCGCAAAAGTTCGCAGAAGCCCCCGAAACGAAGACCGTTAGTTTCGGGCCTGACCCCCCTCCCTCCCCCTCAAACGAAACGACAGTCACAATATGGGCTTCATTATTTCACTTGGATGCTCACACATAATAATTATTATAATATACTACACAAGCATTGTTGTATCAGTGTGTAACAATGTACAGCACTTTATAAATGCAACGATGATATCACCTTGCAGTGGGTGATCTAAGAACGAGAACAGCTAGAGCTATGCAGTTGTATCCTTTGAGCATGCTAATCTATCAGCTCCTACATGTCGTCAATACTTTTTTGAATTGAAGCCCGGTTTGCGATTTTCGACACCGACTCCCTCCCCCCCCCCCCCCCAAACGTATGCTCTTCGTTTCAGGGGCTTCTGCGAACTTTTGCGATGGTCCCTAATATAATAAGTGCGCTCACTTTACTTTCATCGATACTATGATCTTTGTGGTCATCAGTAAAAACTGCTGGAAAAAATTCTGCTAAATCCTTGGATTCTATTCCTACTTAGTTATCCATGCACGTTATCCCTATCTTATAAGGCAGTCCTCAAGGTACTCTAAGAATGGTTCTGTTTGCTAGTGTCTAATGCACTATATCTGTACTTTCTACATCTGTGATCAGGGTCAGCTTCACTACAATATCAACATACCCGACCTGACTTGGTCAACGATATTCCGTGAGATTGAAGGCCAGCGTAAGAAGCTCAGCATTGTCGACTACAGCGTCACGCAGGCAACCCTTGAGGAGGTACGTGTGCTGCCCGTGTGTTGGTGTATGTGTGTGTGAGCGTGTGCATTCGTGCGCGAGTGTGCACACATACGGGGTATGTGGAGGACATGTGCAAGCACTGTGCCATCATTACTTCAGGTCTGGAGGTAGTGTTGCCGTGTTGCCGTGTCTTATACAGTGTGTGATTGCAAGCACGTTAGAATCCTTGGCTTCTACTCAAAAAATGAATGGCCCGCATTTCTTCAGTGAAGAAATCCCCCTCCCCATCAGGATTCTTACCGGTAAACAGGAGGTTGATACATAGCACACAGCAGTAGGTTGTTTTCGTTATGCTGTCGATAGATTAGCATGTACAAAATATGTACAAAAGAGAGTAATTATAAGAATCTAACCTAATCAGTCCTTTCCTTTCTGTAATGGGTAATCAAAGAGTTGGTAAAATGTACTACTAACTATCTTGGCAGACCTTGGCAGATAATATTCGTCTGTCCTGTCATCTTCTAGGTATTTGTGAACTTCGCAAGCGCACAATTTGGCAGCGATGATGACAACGACAAGAAGAGCAAGAAGAAGAAAAAGAAGAAGAAGAATGACCAGAAGTGAAACCGGACGCCCACCTAACTGACCGCTACAAAAGTATAATATATTTCATAATATATTTATAGAATGAGCATGCAAAGTTTTTCGTGATGTCACAATACGACACAATACGACTATGTTTTATGCAAATCTCAAAATTCCTTTTCACAAACTTCCTGAGGTAAGTTACAACGCATGCATAATTCAAATCTTCAAGAAAAACTTGATATGATGTAGGTAGAAGGCAACGACAAGCCAGACGCTCACACCAACTAAGCTGCTGGCTAGAATACCGCTATGCCCGCTAGACACTTGAAAGCTGAACGGAAAGAACTTCTGCAGTAGCTCGCTGCCGACGTAAACGAATATCGAGTTCATTCCTGGAGTAAAACAGTCAAATGAAGACACACAATATAATAATATACTATCTATAGCTGTATATAGAAGATCACTTTTAGCACCATTATGGTTAGTGAAAAATAATACCCTTCTTCACAATTTACTGTGGGTTCTCCTGTGTGCAATGGGGAACAGCAGCAGAAATTTTTTCCGCATTGTGTATTTGATGTGGAGGATTCTTCTCCGGTAGTGTTCTGCTCCTTCCTCAAGCAAAGTTCAGCAATCAGGAAGCGGAAACACTGCTGAACGCTGATTGGCTAAGGGTGGTGGACCAATCATTTCAGGGTGTGAAGTTCAGAGCCAGGGTAGCCTATAAAAGTAATCATTATACCTGTGTCAGCCCCCCAGCCCTCGGACATGATACAGCGTTCTTTTTGTCTACTTTGTAGAACGGATGTTGGAAAAGAAAGAGAGTAGATGGGTCGTTCATAAACGCTGCTGATCTACTCATTTCGGTAGAACATTGATGTAAAGTCCGTGTCGCAATATTTACAGTGCCATGAACAATTTTTCGTGGAAACCAGCTCTGATGGTCACTATGTGTACAGAAATTAGAGAGGTTCCGGGGTACGATTTTCCGTGCCAAAATCCGTATGGGCTCTACGGATTTTTTCGAGGCGTGCTCCATACGATTTTTCGGCACGGAGAATCCGTGTGGACTGGCTTTCATACGAACCATGTTTCGTATGGAGATTTTGCGTCATCGGGTGCAGAAAGATTTTTTGCGTACAAATTAGGTACGAGAAACATCGATTTTCCGCTGGAAGTTTTGATTTCGGTACAAATTTTCAAAATAAAAAAGCATAGCGCGGGAATGTGACATGTTTGCGACCGTAACCTAGGCAATGATGGCAAACACATAAGTTCCGTACTCCGGAACATTTCACTGCTGGAAAACGACGTATAAAAAATCCGTAGCGCCTCTACGGATTTTGGCACGAAAAATCGTACTCCGGAACCTCTCTATTATTACCTCTACCAACTTCTACCGACTTCTACAAGCCTCCAACCTGGTAGTGGTAGCACCAGTTGAGGAAAGTAGAATGGACCGCTTGGGGTAGACAAACAACAACACATCTACTGAAACATGCAGATCAAAACGCATGTTCTGCACATCAGACTAGCTACAGTGGGCGCTGCAGTACCTGGATAGTAGAAGGGAGCACCACTCCAGATTTCCAGAACGTCCACAAGGATATAGCAGACAGACAGGAGCATGAAGGCACCGGCACCCAGCACTAGGATGAAGGATAGCGACCTACATTGTCAGAAAGAGAGACCGAGACAGAGACAGCTTCTTGTACATGTACAGGCGAAACGAATTGACAGCGTGTTACAAGGCGGAAGACATGCTGTCATGAATTCATTGCACATTGTACTTACCTGTTGCTGGCTTATGCTATGAATAAATAATGCTTTACATGTGCCACAGCATGCACCTTCACATGAATACAATCCATATGAAATGCATATCAAATTACGTCAGATCTGGATAAGAAGAACTTCGGATAAGGCCAAAAGAACTTGTTCAGTCCCTTGAAGTTCGGCCTAACGAGGTTTGACTGTAACTGTAACACAGGAGCAGATTCCAGCTGAGCGTGTTTCCGGGTGTGATTAAATGGGCATGTGGCCCTGCCAAAGGTCATTGGTGCGTGCAGAACTACTTAGACAGCTCTGAGCAAACCTGTGCATTGCACTGTCAAGAGTTCTTACCACAGGTTTTTGTTGATGGGAATCAAGCCGGTGTTCTGGGATGCCTGACACAGACCAGTGCCGATTGCGCCCTATACAGTACACATACACACACACATGCATACACACACACACGCACACACACACACACACACACACACACACACACACACACACATACACACGCACACACACACACATACACACACATACACACACATACACATACACACACACTCACACACACACATACACACACACATACACACACACACACACACACATACACATACCCCCCCCCCCCCCCCCCCCCCCCCCCCACACACACACACACACACATACACACACATACACATTTTCAATAGCATCCGCCATTTGTTTGCATGATGCTCTGAACTAGTCAGAATTCGGAAGAGAGTTCCACTGGACGAGACATTGCCTAAGCAGCAACCAATTGAAGGGTCGTCCCACCAAAGCATGCTGCCGTGCCGATGACAGTCAAGTATGTCACACACACACACAGCACAACGGTTGTTATTCTTCTCAACAGGCATGCCCTCACGTGATGCATAACTAGTATGCATGCATCATTAGTATTCATTACAATACATGTGTCCTGACTCCTGAGGGTGCGTGGTGCATAAACTGACCAGAACACAACCCCAGACAATCCAGCGCGTGATGCGGGGAACTCCCTGCTCATACACAACCAGTATGCGGCCAGCCTGAGCATGAAGAAACAGCAGATACAAACGCACAGACAACCAGCAGAGCGGTGTTGGGCAATTAACATTTAACACTCTATCCGTGCACTACCTGTTGCCCCAATCACCACTGATTGTGTTTTGTATAAAACTTTCCTTGTCACGAAAGCCGGGTTGTGCAATGACAATCACAAAATCGCATCAAAAGTAATTCAAAACCCTATCAAACAATCAAAAGTCCATTCAAAACCCTATCAAATACAAGGGCTTGTTACTGTTGTTAGGTCTTCCAATACTGCTTAGACAGCACACTCTCTTCTCACATAGCTTCGGCAATAAAGACCCATTGCACAATGCCATTGTAGTGTTTCGTTGAACTTCACAAGCCAGACTGCACAGACGCCCCCCCCCCCCCCCCCCACACACACACAAGCAGACGGACATGCACATAGGCACACAGGTATGCATGTGCACTTGAATACACACTACACACAGTGCACGCGCAACCAATGAATGCATACCTGACAACCCAGGAAGCACAGAAAGATGGAAGTCAGACTACCAAGAGCTCCTTCGGGATCATATGGCTCACAGTGATACGTATCCTGAAATGACAATTGACAAAAAATACAGCAGATATGTACACACAGAGAAAGACAGACAGACAGACAGACAGACAGACAGACAGACAGACAGACAGACAGAACACACACACACACACACACACACACACACACACACACACACACACACACACACACACATGCGTGTGCATGGGTAGTGTAGTTGGTTATTTTGTGCACATCACCTCACACGGTCTCATCATCACGAAATAAACAGTAAGCCTGCACACCCCGCATGTTGTGTGTGATGGAGGTCGGGGTGCACGGACAAATAAATCTAGACAAAGAACACCAAGTCTCGCCAGTACACGTAAAGTGGAGAGCAGTGGAACGGAGCAACTACGACGTGTGAGCCACATCCCCATGACGCTATGGAAAGGTGAGTGAGCCTGTTCTCAGTGCGGTGAAATTTCACAAGAGCAAAGCTGGATCGATCACCCATTCTGCTAACAAGTCTGCACAGCTATACAGTGTACTGTAATCCAAAAGAAGCTGTGTATCCACTGCACTGCTACGGCAGTTGTTGTAGTTGTTGTATGTGGTACCATGGCAAGCTGTGTATCCACTGCACTGCTACGGCAGTTGTTGTTGTTGTTGTATGTGGTACCATGGCAAGCTGTGTATCCACTGCACTGCTACGGCAGTTGTTCTTGTTGTTGTATGTGGTACCATGGCAAGCTGTGTATCCACTGCACTGCTACGGCAGTTGTTCTTGTTGTTGTATGTGGTACCATGGCAAGCTGTGTATCCACTGCACTGCTACGGCAGTTGTTCTTGTTGTTGTATGTGGTACCATGGCAAGCTGTGTATCCACTGCACTGCTACGGCAGTTGTTCTTGTTGTTGTATGTGGTACCATGGCAAGCTGTGTATCCACTGCACTGCTACGGCAGTTGTTCTTGTTGTTGTATGTGGTACCATGGCAAGCTGTGTATCCACTGCACTGCTACGGCAGTTGTTCTTGTTGTTGTATGTGGTACCATGGCAAGCTGTGTATCCACTGCACTGCTACGGCAGTTGTTGTTGTTGTTGTATGTGGTACCATGGCAAGCTGTGTATCCACTGCACTGCTACGGCAGTTGTTGTTGTTGTTGTATGTGGTACCATGGCAAGCTGTGTATCCACTGCACTGCTACGGCAGTTGTTGTTGTTGTTGTATGTGGTACCATGGCAAGCTGTGTATCCACTGCACTGCTACGGCAGTTCTTGTTGTTGTTGTATGTGGTACCATGGCAAGCTGTGTATCCACTGCACTGCTACGGCAGTTGTTCTTGTTGTTGTATGTGGTACCATGGCAAGCTGTGTATCCACTGCACTGCTACGGCAGTTGTTGTAGTTGTATGTGGTACCATGGCAAGCTGTGTATCCACTGCACTGCTACGGCAGTTGTTGTTGTTGTTGTATGTGGTACCATGGCAAGCTGTGTATCCACTGCACTGCTACGGCAGTTGTTCTTGTTGTTGTATGTGGTACCATGGCAAGCTGTGTATCCACTGCACTGCTACGGCAGTTGTTCTTGTTGTTGTATGTGGTACCATGGCAAGCTGTGTATCCACTGCACTGCTACGGCAGTTGTTGTTGTTGTTGTATGTGGTACCATGGCAAGCTGTGTATCCACTGCACTGCTACGGCAGTTGTTCTTGTTGTTGTATGTGGTACCATGGCAAGCTGTGTATCCACTGCACTGCTACGGCAGTTGTTCTTGTTGTTGTATGTGGTACCATGGCAAGCTGTGTATCCACTGCACTGCTACGGCAGTTGTTCTTGTTGTTGTATGTGGTACCATGGCAAGCTGTGTATCCACTGCACTGCTACGGCAGTTGTTGTTGTTGTTGTATGTGGTACCATGGCAAGCTGTGTATCCACTGCACTGCTACGGCAGTTGTTGTTCTTGTTGTATGTGGTACCATGGCAAGCTGTGTATCCACTGCACTGCTACGGCAGTTGTTGTTGTTGTTGTATGTGGTACCATGGCAAGCTGTGTATCCACTGCACTGCTACGGCAGTTCTTGTTGTTGTTGTATGTGGTACCATGGCAAGCTGTGTATCCACTGCACTGCTACGGCAGTTGTTCTTGTTGTTGTATGTGGTACCATGGCAAGCTGTGTATCCACTGCACTGCTACGGCAGTTGTTCTTGTTGTATGTGGTACCATGGCAAGCTGTGTATCCACTGCACTGCTACGGCAGTTGTTCTTGTTGTTGTATGTGGTACCATGGCAAGCTGTGTATCCACTGCACTGCTACGGCAGTTGTTCTTGTTGTTGTATGTGGTACCATGGCAAGCTGTGTATCCACTGCACTGCTACGGCAGTTGTTCTTGTTGTTGTATGTGGTACCATGGCAAGCTGTGTATCCACTGCACTGCTACGGCAGTTGTTCTTGTTGTATGTGGTACCATGGCAAGCTGTGTATCCACTGCACTGCTACGGCAGTTGTTCTTGTTGTTGTATGTGGTACCATGGCAAGCTGTGTATCCACTGCACTGCTACGGCAGTTGTTCTTGTTGTTGTATGTGGTACCATGGCAAGCTGTGTATCCACTGCACTGCTACGGCAGTTGTTCTTGTTGTTGTATGTGGTACCATGGCAAGCTGTGTATCCACTGCACTGCTACGGCAGTTGTTGTTGTTGTATGTGGTACCATGGCAAGCTGTGTATCCACTGCACTGCTACGGCAGTTGTTGTTGTTGTATGTGGTACCATGGCAAGCTGTGTATCCACTGCACTGCTACGGCAGTTGTTGTTGTTGTATGTGGTACCATGGCAAGCTGTGTATCCACTGCACTGCTACGGCAGTTGTTGTTGTTGTTGTATGTGGTACCATGGCAAGCTGTGTATCCACTGCACTGCTACGGCAGTTGTTGTTGTTGTATGTGGTACCATGGCAAGCTGTGTATCCACTGCACTGCTACGGCAGTTGTTGTTGTTGTTGTATGTGGTACCATGGCAAGCTGTGTATCCACTGCACTGCTACGGCAGTTGTTGTTGTTGTTGTATGTGGTACCATGGCAAGCTGTGTATCCACTGCACTGCTACGGCAGTTGTTGTTGTTGTTGTATGTGGTACCATGGCAAGCTGTGTATCCACTGCACTGCTACGGCAGTTGTTGTTGTTGTATGTGGTACCATGGCAAGCTGTGTATCCACTGCACTGCTACGGCAGTTGTTGTTGTTGTTGTTGTATGTGGTACCATGGCAAGCTGTGTATCCACTGCACTGCTACGGCAGTTGTTGTTGTTGTTGTATGTGGTACCTTGGCAAGCTGTGTATCCACTGCACTGCTACGGCAGTTGTTGTTGTTGTTGTATGTGGTACCATGGCAAGCTGTGTATCCACTGCACTGCTACGGCAGTTGTTGTTGTATGTGGTACCATGGCAAGCTGTGTATCCACTGCACTGCTACGGCAGTTGTTGTTGTTGTTGTATGTGGTACCATGGCAAGCTGTGTATCCACTGCACTGCTACGGCAGTTGTTGTTGTTGTTGTATGTGGTACCTGGCAAGCTGTGTATCCACTGCACTGCTACGGCAGTTGTTGTTGTTGTTGTTGTATGTGGTACCATGGCAAGCTGTGTATCCACTGCACTGCTACGGCAGTTGTTGTTGTTGTTGTATGTGGTACCTTGGCAAGCTGTGTATCCACTGCACTGCTACGGCAGTTGTTGTTGTTGTTGTATGTGGTACCATGGCAAGCTGTGTATCCACTGCACTGCTACGGCAGTTGTTGTTGTATGTGGTACCATGGCAAGCTGTGTATCCACTGCACTGCTACGGCAGTTGTTGTTGTTGTTGTATGTGGTACCATGGCAAGCTGTGTATCCACTGCACTGCTACGGCAGTTGTTGTTGTTGTTGTATGTGGTACCTGGCAAGCTGTGTATCCACTGCACTGCTACGGCAGTTGTTGTTGTTGTTGTATGTGGTACCATGGCAAGCTGTGTATCCACTGCACTGCTACGGCAGTTGTTGTTGTTGTTGTATGTGGTACCATGGCAAGCTGTGTATCCACTGCACTGCTACGGCAGTTGTTGTTGTTGTTGTATGTGGTACCTTGGCAAGCTGTGTATCCACTGCACTGCTACGGCAGTTGTTCTTGTTGTTGTATGTGGTACCATGGCAAGCTGTGTATCCACTGCACTGCTACGGCAGTTGTTGTTGTTGTATGTGGTACCATGGCAAGCTGTGTATCCACTGCACTGCTACGGCAGTTGTTGTTGTTGTTGTATGTGGTACCATGGCAAGCTGTGTATCCACTGCACTGCTACGGCAGTTGTTGTTGTTGTTGTATGTGGTACCATGGCAAGCTGTGTATCCACTGCACTGCTACGGCAGTTGTTGTAGTTGTTGTATGTGGTACCATGGCAAGCTGTGTATCCACTGCACTGCTACGGCAGTTGTTGTTGTTGTTGTTGTTGTATGTGGTACCATGGCAAGCTGTGTATCCACTGCACTGCTACGGCAGTTGTTGTTGTTGTATGTGGTACCATGGCAAGCTGTGCCCGCAAGCAATCTAATTATCTTGGGAGTGCATTGCACATTTGCACAGCACAGTGATGGGGTGGTGCACGGCAGAAAAGCTGACTAAACTGTTTGACGGTGTAGGTCAGTCTCACAGGTGAACAAGTGACTTGCAATAGTGACCACATCCTTCGGGCCTGGCATTGTATATCGCCACTACGATGACATCATTGGTGATCTCATTCCCCTTGCCTACTTCTCCACTACGTTACGATCACACTGTGGAGTGTGGAAATCCCCATTGAGTCACGATGACATAACAGTAATTACATGACATCATTGGCAACAGAAACATCATCACTTGCACTAGCATGCAGTGCACACACTACAACAGCTGTATGGCACTGCGACCAGTGACAGCAGCGGCTCACCAGACACGTCGGGCCACCATAGGTGTGATCGGGGCCGAACAGCAGCTTATCGAGATAACCCGCTGCACCGGCAGTGCATTTCGGATACGCATTGTCATCAGCAATGCCACCCGGACCAAGATATCCACTGCAGTGTGACAGGGATGATGAGGATGATGATGATGATGGTGGTGGTGGTGGTGGTGGTGGTGGTGGTGGTGGTGGTGGTGGTGGTGAGCAAGAACAGACAAAACGACACAATAATACACACACGGCCAAGGGTCAACGATGCAGGCTACAACAGTGAACTCACGGTGCAGGTCGGATGTCGGTACATGTGCGGCACGCTGAACAGCCACCGGTCTATATAGCCGGCAGCACCGCCGGTGCACAATGCATGCTTGCCGTGATCACCAGTGCCACCTGGCCCCAGATACCCACTGTACAACCGTCAGAGTCACAGTGCAGAGCACCAACAGCATAGGCAGCAGCAGCAACAGCACATGCAGCAGCAGCAGCAGCAGCAACAGTGGAGGTAACAGTGGGAGCAGTGGAGGTAGTAGAGGCAGCAGCAGCAGCAGCAGCAGCAACAGCAGAGGAAGGAGCAACAGTGGAGGTGGTAGCAGCAAGCAAGAGCCGTAGCAAAAGCGAGCAATGCATAGAAGACAGGCATGGACACGGACTGACACGCACACACGCATGTTCAAGAACGAAGGTAAACATAGTCAAACACACACACACACACACACACACACACACACAGACACACACACACGCAGACACACACACACATGCAGACACACACACACACACACACAGACACACATGCATGGATCATCCGCAAGCCCATCCACATGCACCACACACATGGGCAAAACCACATACACCACATACACCACATACACCACATACATCACATACGCCAAGAGGTTAGACAATTAGTAAGGTCAAGAATGCACTAAGCTTTTCAAACGGATTAACATGTGAATTTCAAAGCATACATCAGACAGCCACAACAATCAAAGATAGAACTACAGAGAAATAACATCCTCTCCATATGCTATTACATGTAGTATAAAGCAACTTAGGTGAGCATAAGACCACGACAGGGAAAACAATAAATTCACCCTCTCCACGAAGGACTTCAAGTCACCAACCACATTTCAATCCTTCTTCTCAGTAGAATGAACTTATTGGTTTCCTTGTCGTGATCAGTTTCTTGTGTTCTCTCTCGAGCATTTCAAGTGTTAATGATTTACACGTGTCATAATCAAAGGGCTCTATTTTGGTTGATCCCTACACTGGAGCTTGCATTCCACTTTTTTTCAGCTCATTGTAATGCAGGAAAATCTGGAACCAGAGCCACAAAGGAGCAAAAACAAAGAGTAGTTCGGGTCTGTAAACAGGGCTAGGGTGTGTATCACCGTTCCTCTATGCAGCTCCACTGCAAGATTGCCGCTTTCCTGAACTCTTGACATCAATCTCCGAACCCCAAGCTCTTCTCTGGGTGGCATTACACAGAGTAGGGTATTCCCAAATTAGCTTTCATTCGCAAAGCCTAAAACGTGACAGTGGCAATGCACGTACTAATCATCTGGGGCAGATAGCGGTAGCATGTGCTCGCTGTGCGAAACACGCAAGGGAGTGTGAGGCGCGCTTGACTTACGTTGGACAACCTGGCACGTGCATGCCAAACGTGATGGCGGTGTGGATTATCACCAGACTGATCATGATGATCCACTGAGGCAGATAGGCCACTATGTCGTACACTGGCGATACCTTGCTCTGTACATGTGCAAGCGCAAGCGCGCACAAACACACGCACACACGCCACACACACATACACACACACACACACACACACACACACACACACACACACGCATGCACACATGTGCACACACACACACACACACCATGAATAGACTCGTATACACGAAGCGTGATCTCCACACCGACACAAAACACAGTGGAAAACTTGAAACGGCACCAAAAGGGATGAAAAACCAGTGCCCGTGTCAAGTCATAGAGGCGATGTTCAGATTTGACTGGAACCTAGGCTTAGCGGAATCTGACGGACCCCAGGCAAACCTATCGCATGAGCACTCACCACAATTCGGAGTGTGGGCACGAATATATCCACCAGGCCCACCACCAGATAGGAGACGCCAAATCGCTGCAGTACGCCGGGAATACGCCAGTGCTTCAGGTCGTACCCTAGCGCCGGGACAGCAGAAAATCAGACAACACGACAACAACACACATGATAGTCCAGATCAGTAGTGGCAGCAACAACAGCGAGGCAAGCAGCATTACGTGATCTGACTTCTTTGCAGCCAACATCCCACTATTATTCATGTGAGTGTCGTTGTGCAGGATCCTGTCTCAATTGGCAATGTGAGCAGAGCATAACACTATTTCTCCATGGCTGGGTATTGCCTTCATCTCTGGGGTTGCTCCCCATATCAGCATTGCTTGCATACCGTATTTTTCCGGTTGTAAGTCGACCTTTTACGACTGAAAATAGAAGGAGAAAGGGTGGGGGTCGACTTACAACCGGGATTCGACTTATAACCGGGAACTATCAGTATCTTACAAAAAATGACCTGCACTGCATGCACGAGTGCACCATGTTTACACATTTTGCCAGTTTATTGGCCTTTTTCAAGGATTGGGATGTTATATCCTCCAATAAGGAATGTTTACATGATTTGTTGATGTGTTAGTAGCAGGAGGTAGTTAGTAGTGCTTCTTTGGGGGAAAACTTTAAAACGCAGAATTGAGACCTCCAGATAGGGAGGTCGACTTATAACCGGGGTCGACTAACAACCGGTAAAATACGGTATGCGATAAGATGGAGTTGAATTTAATAAAACATTTAATATACTCTAATTTCAGAAATTTTAGGTGCTCAATATTTTCGGTATGAATGCAAAAGGCCAGGTTAGGTGAACAGAAATTTTAGGTACAGAGAATCAGTTCCCTATTGGGTTATGGATGTTGGTGTTTGTTCGGTGTATTGAAATTTTAGGTATGAAACAGATGCACCGAAAGTACCGAAAATAAAAGTACACCGAAAATTTGTGAAATTACAGTAGATAAAAGTCCCGCAAAGTTATCGTTCTCATTTTCTTATTCTGGCCTAGCAGCCAACATCGAGCTGAAACAATGAGCAAAGAAAGAGAAGTCCTTGTAGTACAGGATCCGAAGCTCAAAAATAAAATTGGGTCTGCCACTTCACTCCGAGTATTTGCCGCTTTCAGGGCTGATAGGTGATGCTTATAGAAGGTCAATTTTGTTTGTTGGCCCTTCTGAATCGGGGAAGGAGACGAGCGGCGAGAGGGTTTTCGTCGACGATTTCGCAAGCCTTCTCAAGCGTTCTCAAGGAGGTCGCAAATTTATTTTCGCCGTGCGTCCGTACGCGCATGGCTTGAGCATGCACACATTGCGCACCCACGACAAACATTTGAAAAATTTAGAAAATGACGACGCCGTAGAAAATGACGACGCTGGCCGGGGAACTTATTTGAGGAAGCACGAGGTCTTTCAATTTCATTCCCACGCGAGTAAGCATGGAGGAAGACGAGAATTGTGCCTCCTGTGCACAAAGTCCAGGTAGTGTTGGGCATTTAGTGGCTTCAGCCAGTACTCAGGTTTCGGAAATTTCGTGGAGCTCATGTTTGTGCCACTGTGTGAAGATCGAAGGAAGCGAAAAGGAAGAGAAAGTAAATTTCACGAACACCAGCTGGTCTCGAGTGGTATCTGCTGCCAAAATTCGCCAGGACGGCACATGGGCCTTTCTCTGCCAGGAGCAGTGTAGCACGGATGAGAGCACCCCGCGTGGCTGGTACCATAGGCGCTGCTATGCAGCCTACACCCACAAGAAGACTCTGAGTCGTTTTGAGGGAGAGGAGAGTGGTGGCCTTGCCAGCAATGTTGACGCAGAGGAGGTGGGTGACGCAGATGCCTGTGAGGATGAACCTCCCAAGAAGCGTGTTATGACACGAAGCAAAGTGACAACCATCGACATCACTCTGTGTATAATATGTCAACAAAAAAACAAAAAAAAGAACCGGAAAGCTGAACCGCTTACCCTCTGTTCAGAATTCCGTGCTGGCGAAAGCCTGATCCGTGCGGCAAATGCATGTGGAGATGAAGCAGGCCAGCGGATTTTACTTACCCTCCAGGAGGGCAGTCCCGATTGTGTAGCATCGGACATATGCTACCATTTCTGCTGCTACCGTAACTACACTCATTCTAGTACGGTGGCAGCACTGGAGACAAAGAAGACGACGGCAGTTGCAGACGACAATGTGTACAATAGAGCCTTTGAGTGGCTGGCTGTATGCATGGAGAAGGAGCTCTTCAGTGAGACAGAAATACGAGCGATGCGTATGGACAGCCTGACGTCCAAATACAGCGCCAGGCTGGCAGAGCTCGGAGCTGCAAGTCAATACCGACGATGGCTGCTGAAGAAGCGCCTGTTGGAGCATTTTGGAAAACGCATCAACTTCGTCCGTCCTGGTCCATTGTCACCCGAGAGCGTTGTAAGCAGCTCCTTGACAGAATCACAACTGCTACAAGTAGTTGGTGCAGCAGTAGCCAAGGCTGAGGCAGCCCAGCAGTGCGCCTACGAATATGCTGGAGATGATATGGCGGATGAAGATGCACCTCCAGCTATTGATAGCAGCTGCAAGGTACATGCCTTCCACACAGCCATGGCTCTGAACAACGCCATCCGTGATCAGCAGCCCACAATACCCACCACGCCACATGCCAGTGATGTCGTAAATGAGAATGCGCCAGTGCCAGACATCCTCTACAATGTGCTTGCCATGACCATTGTCGGCCCTGAGAAGTGTGACATTGGTGACCTGACAGACTCCCGTGTCCATGTCCCTGCCGACATCCATTGCAAGATTTTGGCAATTGCTGAGGATATTGTGTACTTCAAAAGAAGTATGCTGCAACTCGTGGATCTATTCTGACACCAAAGCACATAGCTTTGGCGCTTACTGTCCACCACCACACGAGGAGCAAGCACATGGTGGATCTTCTCAACCAGTTCGGCCATGGCATATCGTATTCAAAGCTGCGAGAAGTAGAAACCGGGTATTCTCTCGAAGTAGCAGGAAATTCCGCAGCCAGCAGTGTTGTAGTACCCCGTGGCATTTCCCAGCATGGAGGTGATGTTCATTTCTGCTGGGACAATAACGACCTCAACGAGGAAACAGAGTGGCCAAGGGACGACACACTGCACCAACGGCATTGTGCTCCAGCACCCGCTAACTACCAGGCCCACATTTGGCGGAGCGCCACCACCGCGATGCCAGAAGTGCCGAGTCCAGTGGGCCATGGCTGGCAGTCGGAGACTGACGGCACGCTTTCCATCTCCTGGATGCTGCAGCGCGTCGCTCCTGCTGACATACTAAAACTGGTGAGCTGTGGGTGCAAGACAAGGCACTGCGTAAGTCAGCACTGTTCGTGCAAGAAGGCGTCCTTGGCTTGCACGGACATCTGCTCGTGCTGCTCATGCGCCAATCCGTTTGGGGCCGTACTCGAACAGAACGACAGCTCCGGTGCCGCAGATGTGGGAACAACTGCATGTGAAGGCGACCAAAACAGTGAGAGCGAGGAAAGTACTGGTGCTGACGACTTTGAAGAGTCTGACTCCAGCTCAGATTCTAATGAGGATCCAGATCAGGAGTTGGACGACTCGCTGTAGACACTGGCAACTGCACCGTCCTCCCCTGGTCCAAGCCACCCATTGTGTTTGTGAATTATGGCTATGGCTGTCAACACACCTAACCTGTTCACACATTGTATATAAACTGCTTGTACATAGCTTGGCTTCTAAAGCGATGACGCTATCATCCTACATTTTATTCCAATGTACATATTAAACTGGGCATATTGTCCATGAATTGCACAGCACTGGACATGTCTTCCTTACTACAGTTGTAGTATTTATTCCCGTAGCTATATGCAGAAGACGTTACTTCAGTAACGCCTGGCGCTAGCCAGGGTCCACACAGCTTTAATTCGGTATTTGTGTGTTTGTGTCACGCCTGGCGCTATCCGTATCTGACGGCAAAAAAGCATAGGACGTTATAAATTTTTCAATTCTCCTATTTTTTTCAGGCATATCCTGGGATTCGAACCCGCACTATCGCCCTACATGCATTCCCCCATACACTTCGCATTCATACCCATTCTTCCAAGTTGCTTCACGTTATTATCTTGCGTTTGAAAGCCCTATTTGAATATTGCGGGCAGCTGAATGTGGCCAGCTGTGTTTGATGGTACGGTACGGTACGGGAGACGGTGTCGTATTACCCTCGATCGTACCTGTCCCGTACCTATCCCCTACCGTACCGTGCCATCAAAGACGGCTGGCCACAATGCATATTCAAATAGGGCTTTCAAATGCAAGATCACAATGTGAAACAACTTGGAAGAATTAGTATGTATGCGAAGTGTATCGGGGGATGCATGCAGGGCGCGCGATAGTGCGGGTTCGAATCCCAGGTTATGTCTTTAAAAAAAAGGATTTTTTTAAAGAATTTATAACATCCCTATGCTTTTTTTTGTCTAGGTCATCAAGGCAAAAAAAGCATAGCGTAGGGCCCTGAGCTTCCAAGCTCTCTCGTTTATTTCATTTTCGATTGAGTAGTGACTACAATGCGTTTATATCATTTCTACTCTAACTCTAATTTAATCGAGTGCTATTGAAGGTGTGTGTGCCTGAGAGAGAAGCAGGGAAAGGGTCCAAGCTTACCTTCGCAGAATGATAGGTGTCCCTCGTATCGATCGTATCAACGAAATTCCAATCAAGAAAACATTTGAGATCACTCGCGAAGCGGCGTCAAACTACACGACACGACGGGTAGTTTGTTGGCTGCCATTGCGAGTGGGTAGTGGAAGGACCAAACAATATCTAGGCTAGGCTTACAAAGTCCCTGTGCTTTACTTCTACAAGAGCGAGAGTAAACTTCTTGACCAAGAATATGATCAACAACAAAGTGAAGCCGCCGACCAGATCAGACACTCGCTTTGAGTTTTCAAATTTGACTGCATTTGGTTGTCATGTGCGTACTCTACGCAACTCAGAATCGGCCCGAGACGAAAGGTGAGCAGTTCAAGTGACTGACGAAGCTGAACTAAAATTGCCTCTCGCGGAGCTCCTTCCCCGATCTAGACGGGCCAACAACTACCATTCGACTCCACAACAGGTACTCTCTCCACCTGTACAGTTCGATTTTACTCGGATTCTAGTGGCAGACCACTTTCAGATTTAGACACTTTTTTTGTCTTGGATCCCCGACTATTGCACAAGGCAATAGAGAGGTTCTGCAAAACGAAAATGTGTACGAACTTTCGCTCTACGTCACGAAGTGAGAAACTTCGCACGAACTTTCGCAACTTTGGACGCGAAACTTGCAGGGAACGCGAAATGAACTTTCGTAGGAAGTTTCGTGAGATTGGGTCATGGCGTACGTGCACTTGGCGCGTGCAAACTACGAAAATGTGCAGAACACAAAGTTCGTGCGAAAATTCGTACACATTTTCGCAAGGCCTGTCGCGAAACTTCGGTCGAATTTTCGTTGTGCAGAACCTCTCTAATGCATACAGAGAAATGGTGGCTTCCTGTCAAGTGCTGCAGCAGTTTGTCGCAATGATCCATGAAAAAAAAAGAAATGCCGAAACCTGGGATTGAACCAGGGACCTTTAGATCTTCAGTCTAACGCTCTCCCAACTGAGCTATTTCGGCTACATAAAAGTCCTTGCACAAACACATGTCCAGTACTTGAGAACAAGCTACAGTTATGGCCAAAGAAATCCGACACGCAAGTCAAAAGTAGCGCCGCATTTCCATTTCAATTACATCATGCATGTTCCCAAAACTGATCCGAAGGCCGCAGCGGCCGCATGAGCCTTGGCGCTGCTTTCGGCACGTGGGTTGGAATTCTTTGGTCATGACTGTACCTGCACCCACAGCTTATACAGCCTAGTACTAGGTTACATCAAATATGGTCAATAGAGTTTCCACAACATCGCCAAGCACACACGCTCCTGGCCCCAAAGGCTAACCGTTATTGAGGAAGAGGCCGATGCAGAAGAGAATGACGGCACGCCGGATGACCTTCATCGCCATGGAGCACTTGCTCAAGCCCTTGCGACGCAAAGAGTTGAACGAGATCACCATTGACGTTCCCATGATCCAGATAAACCTGCATACACACACACAGAAAGAAAGCGGACGGAATTAATGGGCCGCCTGAGAGGCAGACGTGTGTGTGTGTGTATGTGGTAACGGGGGGGGGGGGGGAGGGGGAGTAGAGACGCGTATGTTTGGTGCGTGTTGCGCCCATGATACAATGCACAGTCTAAAGGAAAAGAACAGTGCGTCCATTGTAGGCCAGCTGTGCACGCCAGTCCTGCAAGCCGGTAACGGTTCAGCCAAGGGCAATGCGTACTGGACACTCACTCTTCAACATAATATCCGCAGTACATGAGGCCACTACCCCCAAGGCCGTGTTCAAACAGATCACTGTGACGACATCAATACAACAAGGGTATCACACATCATTTCTCTTTTTCCCCCCAGAAAGACGCTTGTAAGACAAGCAATTGGCTTCCTGCCGATGTGGGTGTGCAATGTGCTAACACTTACCAAGGGAAGACACAGTCAGCAACAGTCAGCCCTGAGAGAAGCACACGCACATGCGTACATGCACAGGCACACATTCACACATACAAGCACACCATCTGAGCGTGTGTCCAGCGCAGCCAGGCTGGTTGTCGACAAGCGACAATCTGCTTCGACACTAGCCCTGGATGATGCCATTGTGTTTCTGAACCGCAATCCGTGACTCCTGCAGCTGACAAAGGAGGCACGGTGTGTACCTGACCCACAGCTGCTTCTGGGTGACGGGGCTGGTGAGAACACTCCACCATTGCCAAGCTTGTGACATGCTATCCACTTTGAAGCTTGGCTGTTTATTGACTGATTTTCCCTCCCTCTCTCAGTGTTCACTTCACTTTTTGCCTCTGTTCTGTAAATACAACCAAGTATTCTCTTTCTAAATGCTGGGCTGGGAAAACCGCATACATTTTTCACCTTTTGTATGACAAGCAGCAATATCAATTTTTTACGTTTCGGCAAAATTGCCCCCATCAAGTATGCAAAAAATTGATTAAATGAGTTCGAGTTTGCAGAGTGAATGGGAAGCAGCAATATGCAACAGAAATTAGTAGTTCAAATTACCTTGGTGATGCGGTAAAGCAACAATGTGAACCGATGTAAGATGCAGCAAAGGTGAGCCACTATGACCTAACAAAAAAATTCCGGTACGACGATTCTCCCGAAGCTGCACACTCTGGTTATGTCCTATACTCTCGCCTGTAGAGATAATTCACGACATTTGGGTGAGGGCTAACTTGTGATTTCAGGGCGTCATAAAACGTTGGAAATGCTTATGCACTTGATTGCACAATAGAAAGTTGCCAGTTGCCGAAATAGCTCAGTTGGGAGAGCGTTAGACTGAAGATCTAAAGGTCCCTGGTTCAATCCCGGGTTTCGGCATTTCTTTTTCTCTTTTTTTCTGATTGTGATCGCTTCCAGAAGACGCCTCCGTGCATCACATGTTCTGGATCCAGGTCTGGAAACTAAGGCCTCATTTACACGACGATTGAAAAACGTTTTTCCATCGTTTTCGAAACGTTTTTGCTGTTTACACGAAAACGACAATCGTGTACACTGCAACACGTTTTTCGGCGCACAATGGTCACGTGCAATATGTTGGCCTGGCGCAGGCTGGCGGCGGCATTTTTGAGTACAAGGCTCGTACTAGTAAAACGTTTTTGCCGTTTACACGAGAACGAAACGGGACGAAAACGATTGAAAAACACTTTGAAGCCGTTTTTCGTTTGAAACGTTTTTGAAACGTTTTTCAGCGTTGTTGTGTAAACGCTCTTATCAAAATCTGTGCAAGCGTATTCTTTTGAAAACGTTTTTGACAAAAACGTTTTTCAATCGTTGTCGTGTAAACGAGGCCTAACTCTCCAAGCACCAAAATTGGATTCCGCGGATTCTGACTACCAAATCTCTGTACCACAGTATAAGTCGTATTTGAACTCCGCACTGCACGACTCGCGCATACTGTATACACACTGTCATAATTATAAGCAAAAAAAGCTCCATTCAAGTTTATGCAGCGATTGGCAAAGAACTGAGCGTAGTGACCTAACTAACAAGGGGAGCGAAGGAAAATACTAGGGCTGAAAGGAATATTCGAATTATTCGAATATTCGAAATATGCAGACCGGAATAAGAATATTCTTCGTTAAAAGTAGAATAAGAATACAGGTCAGACCTCGCTATAACGTAATCTCTGGGGGATGGGAGAAATTATGTTATAGCGAGGTTTATGTTATAGTGAGTTGGGCACACCAATATGCAAAATGTATGTCAAAATGACGCTCTTCACTTACTGATAACAACTGCACTGCTTTACATACAGGTATGATGATGACTAGCAAAAATGTGTACAGGCTTGTCAGCAAAGGGGTGACAAGAGTCATGCAGTGCGTGTACGTGTACATGTGACAAGATTAGAGCCTATAAAAAGTAATGGGAGTAGTAAAATACCGGTATTTTACTACTCCCTGCTTCCGAGGTGGACGGCTCAGTCTCGAATTCGTCGCGAGAAGGCATGCATGCAGTGTAGATAGTCATTTTTATACGAGTTTTTACGTTACGCTGAGGTCTCTGTGCGCCCGGGACCCACCAAACAGTGTGTTATAGCGAACATTACGCTATAGCGGATTATGTCATAGCGAGGAAATTTTGTACAGAAGTGATGCGGTTTCGGCAGGGACATTCACATTTGTACGTTGTAGTGAGGTTTATGTTATAACGGGGGTCGTTATAGCGAGGTCTGACCTGTATTCGTAAATGTACACAAATTCGCCTTTTGGGTAGAAAACCAGGCATATTGGTGCAAAATACGAGTAGGGTTGCCACCTTCACAATGACTTGTGTTACCATCAGCAAGCTAAATGATAACATTGTCCTTTTCACACATATCTCTTGTAATTGGGGTACACACCAGTCAATGGTCTATGGTTACCATGGATACAACTAGGTATCCATGGATATTGTACGGTTTAAAATATTCGGAATATTCTTCGTTTCACACGTATTCGGAAAAAGAATATTCGTTCGCTTCATTGAGCATTCAGTTTGCAGAGTTGCACACTCTTGGGGGGGGGGGGGGGGTTATTAAACTCTTGGTAATAGCATGTGAAATGTCCTGGGAAGACTACAGCAGTCTTCCCAGGACATTTCACATGCTAGTACCAAGAGAATAATAACCCCCCACATGGGCGTAGGAACCGGTCCGGCAGGCCCGGCGGTCGCCGGACCAATAATTTTCGATTTTTTTTTTTTTTTACATTTCAACCTTGTTGATTGCTTGTCGACTCTTGTACAGGTACAGTCAAATCTGTCGTAAGCGACCGCCCCTTGGTGCAAGAAAAAGCGGTCGCTTACGGCAGATGTATGGTAAATCCGGCATACCAGGTATATGCTTCCATGTACTCAAATCGACGAGAATAATGTGATTTTTAATATCATTTTATTGGATATTCAACGACGACCATACCCGTATTACGCGTATGCGACACGGCAGTAGATCGACACTGCCTGGACTTGAGAGCTACAGCACAGCCTCAGTACAGGCCAGGCGCCAGTCGATCGCACTTGCAAGACAGCGCATTTTCACACTTTGCAGTTGACAGCGCACTGGCAAGTACAGTTTCGCACCTTACTGAACCTGGGTCGCGGTCGCTTACAGCAGATTTGAATGCAGCCACCGTGCATGAAATCGCGGTCACTGGTCGCGCACTGCAGATGGTCGCTCTGGACAGATCAGTTTGTATGTGAAACCGTCGGTGCACGGAAAATCGGTCGCTAATTTCCCATTTCGCTAGCAATGGTACATTGTGACGGGAAGTGGGAGTTGTGCTAGGAGCTGAGAGCGAGATATAACAGTGTATTGCCTATGACGTCATAAATATCCAACCGGAACTTCACAGCATGAAAAAATAAAATCACGCAACCACATCACTACAGTTGCCTTTTTTAGTGAAGCGAGACTACGGATATGTGACAGGAAAAAATGAATCATTCCCAAAATATCCACCAACCCATAATGGGAGGGCGGGTGGGACACTGTTATATCTCGCTCTCAGCTCCTAGCACAACTCCCACTTCCCGTCACAATGTACCATTGCTAGCGAAATGGGAAATTGCGCATCGGAGCTTCAAGCTTCGATATAACAGTGTATACTTCAAAGCGCACACGACACATAAACACACGTGGGATAAACATATTCATTCCCATGCATGGATAACATTCTAGTCACGGGACAGGCACCTAAGTGTCCTGATAGCAGCAGGTCAGGCTATAGCCCAAACCCCGGAGCTGAGAACGGCTGCACTGTAAGTGGCTGCTGCCGCTGATGCCAGGACCCCCCCCCCCCCCCCGGAATGACCCTAAGAGGGAGGGCTACGTGCTGTCCGCCGTACGCCACGATGCGGAGCGCGAAACCTACGCCAACACACATGCTGTACCGAGCAGAGCTCCGGTACTGGAAAAGGCGCGAAACACACCTGCTAGAGAGGCAAAGCCCAGTCTTGAGCCAATACGATGAACAGCATCCGCCAGTCCAGACCTCCTCTGGCACTAATATCCACACTGCCGCTATGCTGAGTAGCTGGTGTCCGGTCCGTGACCGTCCTGTTGCTCTGGTGGGGGAAGCATCCGGCTTCGGTTAGCATAGCCACGACCGGCTTGGCTACATTGAGTCTGGTTGTACGGGCTGGTGTAAGGCTCGTACCGGGAGCCACCGCCGTACCTGCTGACCCCAGTACCTCGGAAAAACTGGCGTTCACCCGCTGACGCCCCTCCAGAGCCAGACTTGCTGTCGCTCGACTGCGGAGGAGCTCGAGCGTCCTTGTATTGTTTCACAACCAAGCCCAGCGCCTCCTGGGACTCTGCCTTGGACTGGATACGCTCCAATAGTTCCGGGCCGAACAGGGCCGTGCCCGCTTTATCAAATGGCTCCTCCGCCATGGGTACCAGGCTCTTATCTAGATGCTCTAGGAACTCCTGGCGCCTCAGCACCGAGAGCTTACTGTTGGCATTGCCCAGCAGAGACAAGCCAGCCGGCACCATGTCCAATACAGCTTGCGGGTCTAGGCCTGCACCAGCGTCCTGCGCTGCCTTGGCCTCCATCATCAGGGCAGAGAGAGGACCCAAACAATCCAATACGCTGCTCTGTAGCGAGTACAACATGTTGTCCCGCGACCTCTTGAATGACTGCCTTACACCAGGTAAATTCAGCACCTCATGGTCTAGTTTAGGTGTGACCGCCACGTCCACCTCTGGTCGGGAAAACCGCTCTACTAGGTCCCTGCGCTCCTTGCCCTTCAAGGGCTTCCTGAAGCGAGTCTGAAGGAACTGTTTTATATCTGAGGACACCGGAGCATGCTCCGGGTCGTCCGTGCTCACGTCCACACACGAGGGTACCTGCCCACTCGTGGTGTCGTTCAAATCAGCATCACTCGAGCAGGCCTGCCCACTCGAGGAGCTAGGTGGAAGCAACAAACTTCCACCTGACAAACCAGACTTGGGCATGCCCAAGGAACTGGCGATTTCCCGGGGTTGAGTGCCTGCACTCAACCTGGAAAGTTTTGGCTCCGATCCATTGGACTGCGAGGACTGGCCCCTGGCCAGATCCCTTCTACATTCCGCTGTCGCTTCCAAAGCACGTAGACGATCATTGATCGGAGCAAGGAGATCCATAACGGCTGATGAAACAGCTTGCCGGATTGAGTTTTCATCCATCTCTAATCGCGAGAAGAAGAGCTCAGATTTTCTAAATCACTTCGTATCGAGCGGAAATAAAAAAGGCAACTGTAGTGATGTGGTTGCGTGATTTTATTTTTTCATGCTGTGAAGTTCCGGTTGGATATTTATGACGTCATAGGCAATACACTGTTATATCGAAGCTTGAAGCTCCGATGCGCAACGGTAGATGGTCGCCTACAGCAGAGGTCGCTAACGGCAGATTTGACTGTACCATGTTTTACATCGACAATGCGGTGTATCATCAGCATGCATATTCTTATTTCTCATATTATTCTGTAGCATTAAAATTAGGGGTGAAACGGTTCCATGTTTTTCATGTTCGGGTACCCGAATGCCAGCATTGTTGCCCACGGTTCGGGTATCGGTTCCATGCATTCTTTTCTCCAGACCGACAAAATGCGTTCGCGACAATTAATTTTTAGAAAAAACATTTTTACGAGCAAGAATGAGACATCGGAGAGTCCAAGTACTTAAGTGCGAAGAATATAATGACCAGAGAACTCTTTGGAAGAGTGAGGATCGTAAGGTAAGACATTTAAAATCTTTGGTAGACTTGACGTGTACATGTATTTGTACAAGACCAGGGTTTTTTCGAGTTTCGGTTCGAAATTTGACGGAACGGGTACCCGACTCTTTTCAGCTGGCGGTTCCAAAACCGGTTCCTTACCCGAACCGTTTCACCCCTAATTAAAATATGGCCTTTTAGGCCCAATTTAAAAAAAAAATCACGGGGGAGGACCCCCGGACCCCCCCCCCCCCCCCTCTCACAATTTTGCCGCACCAATATTAAACTGCTTCCTACGCCCCTGCCCCAAGAGTGTGCAACTCTGCATATGGGGCCTCCGACGGCGAAAACTAACATCACGTGTCTCAGGTACGTTTCGTACTACGTACAAACGAAGGATAGCGTGCGTACAATCCGAATATCTGCCATGATCATGCTGGGTATTTGCACACGCGCAGCGAGTTTCTGTCAGAGAGTGCTTTTATATTACTCCACTGTTCGCTAAAAACTGGCTGGAAACGTACAACTGCGACACTACACCACATGATGTGAGTTTTCACCGTCGGCGTACCCCATAGAAAAGGTATCAGGAGCTGCACACTCTTGGGGGGTTACCGTAAAGTACCGTTGATCCCCCCCCCCCACACCATGTCGCTTCCCAGCTGGGTTTTCGGCAGGGGGCGGGAATTAGATCAAGGCTGTCAAGTGCAGTACGATGTACAGTAGTGGCAAGTGAAATCCAACACTTGGCATAAGGGACTGCACCATGCAGTCTGCAGCCCCTGCAGCCCTGCATACGTACAGTACATGTGTTACATACAACTTTTTCTGTCTGATGACAAAACTCGTACCCATCACAGTCAAGGTTAAAAAGGTGATGGCAAAAATGAATGGGGATTGGATACCAATACTCCTTATGTGTACCATATTTGTGAACTGTGTGTATCTACGCTGTGACCTTTCGCTCTGTTTGGGATGCATACGGCTCTATAGTACAAATTAGGTGCAGTGCATTACATCATTACTGTCCATTTGTGGCGCTGTCCCCCATGGCAAGTGTCGGATTTCACTTGCCACAACTGTACAATAACATAGAAGTTCAGACTCGATGTGCTGGATTGTGCACATTTTCATCCTGGATTGGCAAGTATTGTGTACAGCAGTGCATGCGTCGGTTCAACATCGTATTTTCGTTGTATACGCCGAAGTCGCTTCACAGGTAGAAAATCGACAGGGGGCGGGAATTAGAGAGGGGGCGGATCAACGGTACTTTACGGTACTGTATATCACCTTATTTTCGGTGTTGTAAAATTTCGGTAAAAGCCAGCCCCTGACCTTTCGGTGTAAGGATAAATTCGGTATGCATGGCACCAAAAAAAAAAAAAAAAAAAAAAAAAACGGCTCTTGCACTACCGGTAATATCTCCGGCTAGGCTCCACATATCATTTTGTTACAGTATGTACTAGTATACCGGTATGTACATGTACGTACATGTACATGTACTATACCAGTATACAAGTTGATTTTTTTTAATTTGACAATGATTTTCATGATTTTTACATATTTTTGGTATTTCGGAAAATTTAGGTGTAATGTTAAATTAGGTGATCTAGGACCAGTACCGAAGTTACCGAAATATAAATTACACCGAAATAAAGGTGTTATACAGTATATACTTGATAGTACATACCCGGTATCTACACGTAGGATCTACAGCTGCGCTCACTGAAAGCTTCTCCACGACATGAAAAGAGCAACTTGAAGAAAGAAAGAAAAAAGAAATGCCGAAACCCGGGATTGAACCAGGGACCTTTAGATCTTCAGTCTAACGCTCTCCCAACTGAGCTATTTCGGCTGCATACTTCCTTTAATTTCTGATATGTAGAACAAGAGAGAAGAATACTAGAGACGTACCATTCCATCGACTGTGATTGAAGAACCAATAGCGTCCACCTTCGTAGTTCACAAAGATCATGATGATAAGTGACAGCCTGGAGAGAGAGAAAATAAACATATGCGTACAACTAGTAAAAATACAGTTTAAGGCGACCACTCGGATAAGGCGACCACCTGTCCTAGAAGACCACTGAAACCAGGACTAAGGGATGGTATTTCCAGTCAAATGACTCTGGATAAGGAGACCACCTGGTAACAGAGACCACGTTTTGAAGGTCCCTTGAGCGGTCGTCTTAGGCAGGCTTCACTGTACACACATGTACATACGCAATCTTCAAAGTCCTTACACAAGCAAATACGCGCATGCACGCACACGAGCATACACACACAACTGACCCGCGGAACGTGTCCAGCGATCGCAAGCGCTTCTTGAGTCGTTTTCCCCGCGGTGGTGTTGATGCGTCGTTTCCCTACAACAAGAACATGATGAGCATGTCTGGTTACTGTACTTGCACTTGCACTGGGGCAAGCAAACTTGCAACGTACATGTACTAATGTTATGTCTGGCCCTAAGGGCCCACACACAGCATTACTCAGGTTCGTACAGTTATTGTAATAATCAAGGAACAGAAAGACAAGGAAAAGAGAGCTCACATTCTCGGACCTAGTCCAGCACAGCAAGCATGCAAAACCAGCCACGAGCCCAGGCGCGCATGCGCGCCTTATCACATCACGTACACAGCAATCGCCCCCCAAGAATTTTTCCCGGGGTAAAATTATAACATAAGCAAAGAGGCACTCAAATTTGGCGCCGACAGATATAGCTGTTGACACTACAACGGCCAGATAATACAAAAGCAAAAAGTTCAAAAAACATCGCACACATAGTCACATATACTTATAACAGTTACTGCAGCTTCCAGAATAGTCCATGAGAGCTGAGCTATAGATCGAGGTAGGAATGACAGATAAAGTCAGCCAATATTGCATAGCGTTGGGGAATTAGATCAGATCGGAAGAGGAACCATGCAAATGTTTCAATGAATTAAACGAAAACAATCTTATGTGAAGACTGTTCGTCATGACCTACATGTAGAATATTCATCTGGCCCAGAAATGTCCACTTCCTACACTCAGGCCGCATCAGATCAAAGTAAGAGAGTGCCTCAGCCATGTAACAGAATTTCTCCGGATTCAATTTGAAACCTTTCTCATCCAGTCGATGGAGTACCCGGTCCACGTTTTCCTCATGGATTTCATCATTTTCCCCGGTACACAGCACATCATCAATGTACCCGCCGCTGCCTGGTAGCGCAACCAAGGTTTCTTCCATTACCCTTTGGAAAATGGATACGGCACTGTGGAAACCAAACGGTAAGCGTTTGTACTGGTACAGGCCCTGAATTGTGTTGATGGTGGTGTATTTCCTGCTTTCCGGTGCTACCTCTAGCTGGTGGTATGCTTGGGACAAGTCGAGTTTGGTAAACTTCCCTCCCGGGCCCAACTTGTGCAACAATTCCTCGAGGGTGGGAAGTGGGTACTGTTCACATTCTGAATGCTTGTTAATAGTCCCACTGTAATCTGCGCAAATCCGTAATCCTCCTCCTGGTTTCTCTACTTGTACCGTTGGTGAGGCCCATTCGGAATGCGTCACTTTCTCAATCACCCCATCAGCCTCGAGTTTGTTCAACGCGTCGATGTACCGCTTTCGAATTGCTAGAGGTACTGGTCTTGCTCGTTTGTAGACCGGTTGTTCATCTGACACGTGCAGCTTTACTTGCACCCCTTGCACCGTACCCACAGTGGAGTTGTCAAACAGATTCGGGTATTTCTTAACGAAATCGGTAGTGGATTGCCCGCCAGTGCCCACTTTGAATATAGATTTCCATGGCAAAGTAAATCTGGACAAGACATCCCGGCCTAAGAGAGAAGGACCATCACATTCAGTAACTCTGACCAGAACATTCTCCTCTACACCACCCAAAGCCATTTTCATTTCGATTTCACCCAGACATTTGATTGGATTTCCTGTGTATGTAGATAGGGTGATGCTGGATGGTACCAGCTCAGACACGGAGCCATTGCATTTCAGAAAATCATTTTTTCCTAGCAGTGTGACGGTGCTACCCGTATCAATTTCCAAGTGCACCTGGACCCCATTTAGCTCGACAGGCGTAGTGTACGGTGCTACAGCTCTGTCACTCATGGTGGCATTCACATTCAACATCGGTACAGAATCATTACAAGGAACAAGCTCACCGGGGTTTGATGTTGTCCCGACATGCTTGACGGACCTGGCCGCTTTCTTCTTTAGGCAGGCTCGTTCGATGTGTCCCAGTTTGCCGCAAGCACGACACTTCGCAGATTTGAAGTGGCACTCGTCCGGTCGATGTCCCAGCTTGTCACAGCGGAAACAGGGCTTGTCAGATTTGAACGTGGCGTTGTCGGCGAGCCCCGGCTCTCCGCGTACTGCATGAACCTGCGTTGAAAACTTCTCAGACTCGCGGAAAGCTGTCTCATGAGCCGTGGCCATGTCGACAACCTGCTGAAATGTTGTCGTCTCCTCAGCCTTCGCCAGGATTTCCTTCGTCGTGCTGGTAGAACCGATCGCAGTGATGAACTGGTCACGCAAGGCCCTGTCGAGATAAGCTTCAAACTTGCAGTCCATGGCTGCCCGTTTCAATCGAGCCGCGAACATGATCGCAGACTCGCCCTCCTTCTGCAGGGTTTTCTGAAATTGATAGGTAGCAGCAACTACACTGATCTTGGGCTTGAAATAATCACAGAGGAGCTTCAGCAACTCTTCGAACTTCTTCTGCCCTGGTTTATCTGGGAGGCACAAATTCTTCAGTGTGGAGTAAACCTGACCGGATAGTTGACTAATCAGCACGGCGCACTTTTTCTTGTCTGCCGCTGTCTGTACTGTCTCGGTTGCATCGTCTGCAACTTGGCCAATGTCATTAGCCAGAAAATGAAAATTGAGTCTCTCTGCATACTCGTCAAAATCCCCAGTTTCGAAAATTTCTAATCTGGAGTTGCGTCCTGCCATCTTCGTCGCCAATTGTTATGTCTGGCCCTAAGGGCCCACACACAGCATTACTCAGGTTCGTACAGTTATTGTAATAATCAAGGAACAGAAAGACAAGGAAAAGAGAGCTCACATTCTCGGACCTAGTCCAGCACAGCAAGCATGCAAAACCAGCCACGAGCCCAGGCGCGCATGCGCGCCTTATCACATCACGTACACAGCAACTAACCAATGATACGTCAAGCATTATCACCACACACACACACACACACACACACACACACGCGCACACACACACGCACGCACGCACGCACGCACACACACCACACACACACACACACACACACACACACACACACACACACACACACACACGCACACGACACACACACACACACACACACACACACACACGCACACACACACACACGCACACACACACACACGCACACACACAGCGTATAAACACGTCTTGGTTAGCAGATTACCCCAAGCACCAGTCACGCTGCTCTACATACGGGAAGGCAAGTATACATGGGCACCTGTTACAACACCACTACAAGTAATAGCAAGAGTACATAACCCAAGAGTGTGCAACTCCAGCTATGGGGTCTGCGACGGCAGAACTTCACATCACGTGATGAACCCGTGCACTCTAGTGCATGATAGATACTGGGTTGTACGCAGCCCAGCTTTGGGTACAACTCTCTTGTGGTCACTTTGCACTGTTTGCCAGCATAACCTTTTGAACCATGTCACGTGATGTGAAGTTCGGCCGTCGCAGCACAGCATAGAGGTTGTGCAGGCAGTTGCACACTCTTGGTTATGTACTCTTGGTAGTACATGTACTACTATGCTATCAGACATCACTACTCACCAGCTGAGCGCGTCGGCTTTGCAAGGCTCCCGCTGCCTCAGATGCCTCCTACGCACATCAAACACGTACAATACATGAAGCACACATGCACACACGCACACACGCACACACGCACGCACGCACACACACACACATGTGCACACACGCACACATGTGCACACACGCACACATGTGCACACACGCACGCATGTGCACACACGCACACACACATACACATTGATAAAGCCAGCATCTATACCACATAAATCTGTGATCAATTTGCGCGTAAATTTTCCGAAATTGGATGCAATGATCCAATCGATATGAGAAAAAAATCGGGGGAACTGACTCAACAAGATCCCGAAGAAATTGCTCGAAAAGCTCAAACCAAATGGAATTATTTGAAAAACTCTAAGAGGTCTGAATTTTAGAAACGCACTGTACACCCACCCTCCAGCACAGAGAAGCAGATGTATATGCACTTACCGAATCATCATTGGATGCCACACGGGATGTGTACTTGCTACCAGAGAACTCCTCGGTATCACCAAGATCCTGAGAAGCGTGCAGCACACAATACGCTCAGCGGGGAGCATTCAACATTCCCTAACTCAGAGCCTACCGGTAGGCTGCATGAAAACTACCCTTCACAGAGAAAGAGAGCTGTCGGTTTGAACCTGAACCACTATGCGTGTGCACATCATATGCATGTACTGGTACATTGTATTATGTATGTATGGTTAGTAACAAACTTAGAGTTACCTGCCTAGAATGTGTACAACTTGACGATGGATAGCTGTAAAGCGTGAAATTTTCGCGGCATTTTTAGTTCACGTTTTCAGAATCCGGACAGGTTTGCGAGGTTTTAATTTTGCGATTGCAGAATTTGCTACTGTGGCATTCATGCTAAACCTTTTATGGATCTCCTTTTCGCGCTGTCTAAATTTCGCGATTTCCACGCGGTCGCGAATTTCGCAGAAATTAGACCATGGCAATAATTTCACGGTTTACAGTAGCTGTAACACTCGTTTCTAGAAGTACAGCAGGTTCCATGATGCAATCACATGTAGCTCCATGCAGGTGTTCAAGCTGCGAAGTCGACTGTGCAAAATGAGGTTCATATCATGTGCGGTTGCACACACACTGCGGAGTTATGTAGTCTTCGCATGGGTCCAAAGTCCAAACAAATATGAAATACAGAACTTTCACCCACCACCCTCTTTCCACCAACTAAGAACGGCCATGCACCACCACCCATAGAATAAAAAAAGAGCTCTCAATCTGTCAATCCTTACACATTTCTATAGCAAGTCATAAAAAAAGAGCTCTCAATCTGTCAATCCTTACACATTTCTATAGCAAGTCAAGGGGGGGGGGGGGGGAGGGCATGAAAGACACGTGTCCGCATACTGTGCTGATAGACGGTCAAAGAAAAGGGCAACATAAAAGGCATAATACTGTGGACTAGACATACCGTGTTGACCAGGCGATCATGTGTTCGACACTGCATGCGCAACCACAGTTGATAGCGTCTGAAACAAACGTCAGAAGAATCACCGCACAACCATTATAATAGGGTTACGAGTAGAGACTAACGAGAGCGGAATTTCTTGCAATGTCATGATTAGGTTGCACACATGAGCAAGCCCTATCTTGCACAAGTGCACACGAGCGCTACGGCCCCCAGGGGAACAAAGTGTGAAGGTGGAATACGACATGGTGTCGGTGTCGGTCTCGCGCCATCACCATGCAACACATCACAAAAGGAACAGCAGTACAAGACAGCAGAGCGAGGGCTATTTACTAGTACATGTATAGTATTTACTCGACACAATGTTTTTATTACAATCAGCAAACTGTGAGAACAACAATGGACAACGAACTCAAAGGATTCAAATGTACTAGTAATCAGGACTTCTAGACTAGTTCTAGTATTTGCTGCTATTTAGAAGTTACCTGTCCAGGAACAGCAGTGTACTCAGAACAACAGAGATCAGAAACAGTGCCAGTACAGCATGCCAGAGAGCTGCAAGAACAGCAAGACAGAGAAGAGAAAACATTCTGACGCGCATCTACACGGCAGTCAGTCTCCGGGTGAGCATCTTCTCCGAATTACGTGAGTGATGGTGGCAAGGAAAGTAGCGTAATGGCAACCGACCTCAATTACAGTGAAACTCATTTAGTACGTACTCCGGCAAGTATGCATACTCTTGCTTATTATGGACATTGTTCGGAGCATGGGGGCGTAGTGATCCATACTGAAGTATGTTCGGTTAAGAAGTACCTCAGATACCAAGAACTTGTCTTGTTCCCGATGGGGTTAAGTCTTATTAGAGTTCCACTGTATGCCATTTGCCACAAAAGGACCTCACTTACAAGTCTGAAACAGATATGGAGTACTAGTACGTCTGCCCTTTACCATTAGTATCAGAGTGTGTAATTTACACAGGACATTGTCCGCTGCAATAACTCACGGGCAAAAGTGTCGACGCCTCTCTTGGTTTGATACATGGCACAGTCCACTACGTCACCAGTCGTCTCATGACCATGGCACAGCAACAGGTACTCTCCTTTCTCCTCCAGTGTCAGCTGAAACCTAGCATGTACAACGACAACAACCAGCAGTGCAACAAGACAACGAGACATAGGCTGTGAGAGGGCCAAAGTTCATAGTTCTCGTGCCCACGGGTCTGCTGCTGGTGGCATCAAGCATATTCAACATCCTCAGGTGCATGTAGATAACAAATACATTTCACCGTTCATAAAGTCACACTGACTTGACGGAGTCCGCATCCGTAGGAACACCACCACCCTCAAGATTCAGAGACAAGTAGACAAGATAAGAAACTAGTGGACTTAAGGAAAGTGTAGTCCACGTTGTTGCTACTTTCTTGCCAGGGGAACAATCAGGCAAATACAGCCAATCAAACTTGTAAATGCATGCAAAGGCAAATGAAAAAAATGATGGACAAAGGGGCTCAGGTACTCATATACTTCTTAAAACAATGTCAACACAGAATGGAACGAGGCTGTGCCAGTAAGCATTTATTACGCCGATACCAAGAGGTGGAAGTATGAGAAGGCAGTGCTAACACCGGGGTGTGGACATTATCACGCACTACACGACCTGGCAGATTCATTTTTTCTGGCAGATTCATGCATGCTGATCAGAGAGTCGTACCCCCTGATGCTGATATACGCATGGCGTAGAGGCGTGAGAAGACAGTGTTACCGCCGGGGGTAGCAAATACTAGCAATAATCACGCCACAGCATGATTGCCACAAGACCTGGCAGATTCATGCATGGTGATATGCTCATGACCTACAGATGTAGCCCAGTTGTAACATATACCACTAGTTACACTCGGTGACCTTAAAATGCACACAGAGACAGTGACAGAGATGTGCAGTGGACTGATACCAAGGTGTGGCGTGAAAGACAGCCACTCCGGCACATGTGACACAGCCATGAAGAAATGAAGACACGCAGTACCAGAAATACAACGAACAGTGAACACAAAGCGAGACAACACACAAGCCATCCCGACACTGACAGATAACAGTCACAATCACAACACACGCATACCGTCCATCATTGAAGACCTCGCCTGCCCTGGTGGAGCGATTGCCAATCGGCTTGAAGACGTCGAACATGGTGCCAAAGTTGGTACCAACCTTAAGGTACATACCGTCATTCTCCAGCAGCTCTCCTTCGTCGCCTTGCAACGCCCAGGCTCTGCACTGTGATGCAAAGGACATTACGCAAGACAAACACTCCATCATGAAGCCAGCAAAGAGGTATAAATACGCATATGCAAGCACCAAGCAATGGCTAGCACATGAAGCACAGAAGACTGGAAATTCCGATGAGGCTTCCCACCATAACTCATCGAAGTCGGTACACTGATGACACAAGCACCAACCACGTACCGGTATGTGCGAAAGTTGTCACTGGTTTGACATAGTAGTACCACTGTACCATAGTCCGCACTCTTGTTTGATGCTACGCTCTGCGTTGTTCACTATAGGGTTAGCGCCACTCGCACTCTCTTAGGTGCCATGTCGTCACTGCTCCGACCGCCTAGAAAGCTAGAAGTAAGGTCTTGTCTGCTGCTGCTTGCATCACCAGTGTATTAAAATTTCCAGTGGCTTCTGTGATTTGTGTGCTAATTATTATTTGTTTTCCTGAAACAAAAAAAACATTCAAGAAATGGCTGTGCACACCCCTGTACTAAAGTAGTGGCCAGTGAAGTTCGACCTCATGAATAAAATAGTGCTGGACGTTAGTGCCATCCCAGCGCCAAGACATCACTCAGTCCACTACGAGACGGCGCTACTATATTCGTGAGGGTATACTACAAGGACCAGCACTGTAGTGCGCATCCACGCACACACACACACATGCAATCTTTCTCAGCAGTACCTTGTAGCAATTATCTGAGGTAGCGTTGACGTAGAGCGGTACCATGACTCTATCCGTTGAATTGTCACCATCGTTGACAGCCAGTACAGTGGCCTTGTCTACAACATGATCTGGCTTCCTG